TAATTCCAGTATTCGTTTTGATTGTCAGAAGTCCGTCAGAGCGCTTTTCAACGCTTTTAACCTGGAAATGATGGAACTGCGACAATTAGAAGGTGGTTCAGGCACAGTTCGGCGACGGGGAGGGGCATTTTGCACTTCGCTGCTTCACTAATTCCAGTTTACAAGACCGCAGCTTCATTAGTTCCGGTTTACAAGTCACATTCTGGTGAATCTCTTGAGAAGCTGAAAAAAGCTCGTCGAACCATCATGGTAAATGGTATTCGTATGGTATTTCATTGCTTTACAAGAGTTGACAGGCACGCTTAACAAGAGTTGGCAGTTGCTTTCATTTCGTGGCTTCACATGGTTCACAAGCTTCCACTGATGATTCGACACGTCGATGGGAGGTAGCAAAAGTGCAAAATGCCCCCGTCGCGGAATTGTGCCAGAGGCGCACGCTTGGTAGGGCCACAACAAATCCAGTGAAGTGCGAAGCTATTTCATTCTTTTGGGTACCCTGTAATTCTCAGAGCTAAGGAAAGAGAAGGGGTGCAAAGATGTTTTGCCACAAGAGGTAAAGGTTGTGAGGTATGATCGGTTATTCCAGCCTCAGTCCTTTCACTCTTATGACTGGATAAAATTATAGATCCCGGGCTAAATTAATGGGTAAGTAAATGGATAGCCACATACGAATTAAACTACAGCTTCTAGGTGATCCTGATCCATGTTTGAAGCAGTCCCTAACCCACCAATGGAAATCGAACGAGCGGAATGTTCCAAAAATGTTGCAAAGGTTAAGTGAGGGGGGTGGGCATCTTGCTGGTCCCATCGGTCTGTGATGACGCCACCTATGGAGACCTGCATACCCGTGTAAAGTCTGGACAATAGCAGTTACTTTGTCTACACTTGACAAGGAGATTACAAGTCTCACCAAAGTGTGACGTGCTACTCAACAGGCCCTAACAGAACTAACCCACGAAAGTGCAAAATGCCCCTCTCAAACCGAACCTTGCCGGCCGAAGGAAAGCATTGTAAAGCCTTTATGCTATTACTCTCGCTAGCAAAAACATCGATAGCCTCATAATCAGGAGAAAATAGAGTTATAGATCCATACCTGAGTATTTTTATGAATATTTACAGGGCCTTTGTCCATGGCTTCAGTCAATGAGGTACTGAGCGTTTCATCGAAGGTACGTAATACCTAAAGTACTACAGTTACTAGAAAGTAGATTCTATTCCATCATGTGAGGTGGACGAACCTTATCGTATCGTATTAGAAGATGAGTATCTGATCCTAAATTACCCAGAACTCCTGCAAGCTCGACAGCTATGTAGCCAGCTCCTACTACCACCGTTTTCCTGCAAAAGAACAACTAATTACCATGAATTTCTCAAATGGCTTTCGGAAAAGACAATGAGAAAAACACTCGGAGTAGCGGAGAGAATCCCTAGAATTCAGGAAAAAAAACAGGAAAAATTCGAAAACAGTGCCGGTAGAAACTTACTTTGGCACCTTATTGCGCTCGAGAAAGCCATGACAAAATTCAGAAAAAAACAACAGTAAAAGGATGTTGTTTGAAGGCACTGTCGATAGAAACTTACTTCGGCAGTTTATTGAGCTCGAAAAAGCCATCACTATCCGTTCCAAGTTCAGCACCGGGAAGATCCGGTATGGTTGGATAGCCTGGAATTAAAAGAATGCTTCCTTGGTAGGACCATCACTTCACGTTGGAGGAACGAAACAGCTGTATATTGTAAAACTTTCCAATCTTGAAGCTTGAAGTGAAAGTTCTTACCTCCAACAGCAATGAGAGTGTATTTTCCTCTGTACTTTTCCCCATTCACTTCTATACTTCCGTCATCAGTGAATGTTCCATACCCACGGATGAGGTCCACCTTTCGACTGAAAGGATAACAATCTCATTCAAAGTCTGCGATCAGATCTTGTGGGTTAGTAGGGCTCGAACAGGGATGCCAAGATGCCATGAGAGTCAATGGAGGAAAAAGAAACAGAGAAAGTCGTTAAAACGGCCAGAGTCCCAAGTGAAACAGCTAGCGAGCGCGTTGCTCGCGAAGGATGAGCAATTTCACTTTCGATATGTGGATCGGGCTTTTGAAGGCACATACCTACAGCAAGCTCTTAGTATAGGGGTTCAATACGAATCTGAAAGTGATAATAGAGAAACCAGTTAACAAAAGAACATATGAATCCGTTGGATACTGCGGCCCCTTTGATTGAAACGTTGAACGAGCATGAGGCGAAAAGAGACGCAGAGACACTCAGCACGCTAGCGAGAGTTCACTGCCGCGTCAGTCATAAAGAGGTACATATAATTCGGATGGTGTTGAGCTTGAAAAGGCGCTGCCAGACTCAAGGTAGGAACTCATGGCTTTAGAGCGGGGTGGGACGTGGGGGGGGGTGGTCCTACCGAGGTATTCGCGGAATGTGTCTTCAAGCAAACATCAGAGAGATCCTCTCGATAAAGGTAATCTGTTGCAGTAAAGACAAAAGAGAGTGGAAAAACAAAAGGAAAATAGCTTACTCCATTGAGATTGTTCTCATATATACCGTTGAGTCGTCGAATATAAGCATCGCGGGATTCTTTGATCACGCTGGAACGAAAGATATCGCCCTGTCGCATACACGGAAGCCTTGGAAAAGCAAAGTAATGCTTACCTCCAATCAAATTTGTTCAGAGTAACATCAAATCCGTAGTCTGCATGATCCCGTATGAATTCGCATGCAATGGAAGCAATTGTACATTTACTTCTTTGGTAAGGGGGGGGGGGGGGGGGGGGGGGGGGGGGGGGGGGGAAACCCAGTTTACGGCTAACTTTTGAGCATTGCTATCATGGAAATCCCGTGTAGGAAAGCAAATATCATCACACAGTGAGCTTGATGGTTTTTTTTATAAATTAAATGGAAGGTAAAATAAGAATGAATGCGCATCGTGGCTTGGTGGGGCACAAATGGTAGCAGGCACAGTTCTAAAAGCTACTTTGTGCACGAGTTTAAACTTGTAATCATAGCTCAATGTTTCATTTGCAGTTTACAGATTTAAAGGAAACAAAATGTGAGCTGTCGGTTATATTAGCAACAACAAACAAGTGAAAGTGCAAAATACCCTCAAGCAAACAGACGCGACATGAAAAGGCCTTACACAGTTCCTCCGAGCGGCCACTCTCGATGAGAGCACAGAGACCCAAACTCTGCGGGTCGAGAAAAGAAACGCGATTCGATCCAGAGCCACGCCATGACCAAATAATCATACTCCTTATTGTTGCCATTTCTCTGAAAAACTGTTTATATTTGCCGAATGCATATTCCTGCACACTAATGATGTGGTTTAGGACAATTATTCTCAAAACTCTCATCCTTTACTCATGAAATGCAATGCCAGGCCGTTTAATGAGGCGGAAGAAGGCGCAAGTAACCAGGAAGTTACTACGTCACGACTTCCTCACTGGGGTGCCGTCAAGCAGATGGTCGTATTTCGAATCATCTCGAGATCACTCGACCATTAGACGACTATGCTAAGATCCTTAGTAAAGTAACAGCGATTCTAATTCTATGGAAGCCTTCTAATGCCGCCACTCAAGGTTGTAGGTCCGAGACAGTAGCCTTGTAAAAAAATCTCATGTAGAACTAGATGCATAGCTTGCCTATAGGTGCGTTCAGCACTTCGCGGCGCGAGCGCTTCGATGGCGCGTTCGACGCGATCGATGCAGTAGAGGTCATGCGCATCCTTTCGCGCCGAACGCGCGACCGAAGCGCTGCCGTCGCGAAGTCTGAGCGCTGTCTTATTCACCGCAAATGAAGGGGCTTGTCAGTAGGGTTGGGTTTGGCGCGCGGCCAGCCCTTACTCCAGTTGTTGGAGCGGGGTAGCGTCAACAGTTCATGGAAAGCGGCTGAGTACGAATGACATGACACAGTCTTGCCGCTTGCCGAAAGGAAAAAAAGGACCGCTCCGCCAAACCCATCTCCCTTGACACACTTCATCATCTGCATAACAGGGCTAAGAGACCTTATTTGGGACATTTCCTGACGAGGAAGAGGACAGCCCAGAGGCGCTAGCGCTTACCACTTGGTTTTTATATTTCTTTCTCAGCATTTTTTATAGTAACATCAGAGCTCTCGTGCCTATCCATTATGGCAGTGTCGGTCCCTTACACAACTCTACTGCAAAAGAACCAGTACATGGAACCTAAACTTCTATCTTAGCCCTTCTATTTGCTGTGCACACGCGATCATAAACCCGAACGGACCTTTGACTACTCTCCGCGCCTCACACACGCACGCACAGAGACAGAGTTGATAAGAACGATTCTTTAAGGAAATGAATGAATTTGAATATGAAAATGTGAACGGTACAGGGCTCTGCCAACGGGATGTTTGTTTTCTTGCTGCCAGCGTCCAGAGTTACTTTCTCACTGTATCTTCTGCTCCAACATTTGACGGGAGGAAAATAAACGTAAAGGAAGAGAGAAGAAGGGAAGGAAAAGAAGGAAGGAAGAAGGCAAGAACAAATAGGAAAGGCTTTGCCAGTGACGTCCTGAGACGGTATCCTAGATTGCCTGGCACTAAATAAAGATCAGCACTGAGATCAAAAGAGAGTCATGAATTAGAAATCAATTGCAAAACTTGAAAAAAATTCACAAAGACGCGGTTGTGATGACATTAGCGCCCATTTTTTGATGATATTGGCAAAAAGATAGAGCGAAAAGCAGAAATGATGACATTGCGCCGGCGAGTCGAGACGGCCTTTGACCAGTCGGCGCTCGTTTCGATGGCGACCGGCGAATCTACGAACCTACGCGCACAGTTGCAATCAGGTCGGCGTTGGAGTCGCGCCAAGTGATAGGTTGAAAGGAGGGGGAGTGTAAATCTAAGGATCAAGAAGACAATCGCTTGGGGTATGAAATGTGTAGGAAAACACGAGTTCAAAACATTGGGGCTTTCTCTACAAACAAATTTTTTCTTTCTACGCTGGCGCAAAAATTGAACATGGATGCAGCGTAAGGGTGGCCTTTCAGAATCTTACCCAAGTGGAAAGCCAGTTTGCACACCTGACACTATCATAACCTTTCACAGAGCGCGAACAGATACAAAAAAAATCATATTCGCCCTATGAAAAATGCATGCTGCCCTGTCCCCGACTATGCTTATTTCAGCGTCAAGCACCAGATTGTTCCAATAGCTATCGAAAAGAATATACATTGAGAACGAAAAACAAATAAACCCCTCATCGAATAACAGTCTTGTTGCTGCGGTGCCGAGGATTGCCAAGAACTCGATTTGGCCGCGGTGCCAAAACCCATTATCCACTAATAATGGTCGCTTCCAATTCCAAATTGGGGAGACGGAGTTGGCGCTGCGCCAACCCAGTCCCACTGCCACGTCCCAACATGCACAGTGAACATGCTATTGAATTCCGCGACCGATGTTTCTTAACGAATTTTCGTCCAATTTCGATTATTTGCACAGATGAAAAACTAGGATAAAATACATTCGAATATGCAATACACAAGTTTACTTCTTATTTGAAAAGTCATTTTAAGTAATGTTGTTTTCGATGAGGCAAGAAGCGTCAGGCCGAATTAGGCTCAAAGGCACAAACCCTAAATAACCCAATGCAATAGTATCTCTACCAAGCAAGTACTTCGGTATGCGGGTCTCACAGCTGTTTCTTTTATAGGTTTGGGAAAGAAGAAAGTCCTGTCACTGTTGTGATTTTTTTCTTTTTTATTTTCTAACTCAACATGAAATAAAAACTAATCAATAATATAATCGCCATTGTTAGCCACTACAGTGCTCCACCTAATGGGCAACTCAGCTATCCCCTTCTCCCAGAACTGAGGAGGCTGCGAGTCGAAGAAGTAGGCAACTTCTCGATTGATGCCATCAAATTCGCTGAAGGTTTTCTTACCTAGGAAAGCCTTGAGGGAGCGGAACAAGTAGTGCGGGGGTTGTCGGGGGGCTAGGTCTGGAGAATATGGTGGATGGGGAACGGTCTCCCAGCCTAGCTCCTCAATTTGGCGGTGGGTCTCTTTAGCCACATGTGGTCTGGCGTTATCATGGAGGAGGTGCACCGAAGCTCGTCTCGGCCGCTTTTCTCGAAGAGCTTGCGCGAGTTTCTGGAGTTGGGCGGCGTAAACGGTAGCGGTAACCGTATGCCCTTGCGGAAGCAGCTCGTGGTGCAGCATGGCGCCTTCGAATCCAGAAGGCAGTCAGAGGGAGCCTTTCTTGGAGTGCAGGTTATCTGGGTTGCCGTAGGGGGTCTTCTCTCGAGGGGAACCACATGGCACGAGCGTTAGGTTGGAATCATTAGAGACCCGCTTTCACTCAGTCAGCCATATCTTCCAGAAACTCCTTCCGGTTACGGTGTAGAAGGAGGGATCGACAGATGCTCACCCTGGCATACCGCGTGCCATCTGTTAGAGCATGAGGTATCCATCGCGTGAGGACTTTTCTGTAGCAGCCAGGGGCCTGAAGGCGGTTTATGAGCTGTTGTATGGCGTTACACCGCCTAGCTTTGGTCGCAGTGGCCTGCGTGTGGTCTAGCCTCTTGGATCTCTCTTGACAGGTTTCGAGAACGGCGGGTCTTCTACGCGCGAGGGCGCCAGACGAGGTTTGTCTTCGACGACTCGCTCGTTCCTTCTTGCGTGACGGCGAGCGACCAACTCGTGACAGTCCTGACGGTGGTGGTGTCCTCCCCAATGCACAGTTGATGTTACGGGCCGCTGCCGTCGCTCCAGTGCCGCGGCGCCACTCATAGAAGATGATCACTCAAAGCTGCTCCAGTTGAAACTGACATCATAAATAAACATATGTCGGAAGAGCAGGGGAGCGCTTGATTAGACCTCCTTTGTGGAACAGCTTCGACATGGTCTACAAGTTAGCATTTTAGCGTCATGTTCGAGCAGATCAAACTGTTAGGCTGATCAACAAAAAACACTGACAGGACTTTCTTTGTTCCACCTTTACAATTTACCACAGTAAGTGAAAAAGGCGCTATGGCTGCGATTAGCCGAAGAAACTTCACTCGCAAAAGTTGCCCCGCCCTTCAGAGGACGAGATACACCTGCGTTCTCAACTCTATAGACGGAAAGTGTGATGGGTTGCTTTCACTCCCTGTAAGACCGACCTGTCTTCTCTCTCGTCGTCCGGCCCATCTTCCCGTTCTAACATATTTTTTGGGTCCTCGCAAATATATCAACGCTTTCACTTCTTAGAACACTCGTAAAAGTTGGGGCCTTATTCAAAGGCACTTCAACAGCTTGTCCTTTTCTTTCATCGATGAGTCAATTAGCATTCTACGAATTCATACTTCGCCCAAAGCCCCCAAATTTGTACTTGTAGGTGGACTGGGTCTCTAAGGTAGCGTTCAGACTTCGCGACGACGCGCCGTCACGCTCACACGATCTGGTAATCTCCCATCCTTCTATCTCTGCCAAAGCCCCAGCACCAGCGCCGATCGAAACCTCCTGTGTGGTTAGGCAGTCCGTACCCTCCTGTTCCCCCATAGTCTCTCACTACACAAGCGGCCGTCGCCGCGCGTCGAGTCGCGTCACCGCGGAGTCTGAACGCTGCCTAGGAAACCTATTCACCCGAAGAAAGGATGGTCTCCTGGGCTACTTCAGCACACTTCTAGTCCTACAGCACAGGCGAAGAACCAACCTTACAAAACTCCTCAGAATACTGTAGGCAGCTCTTGTCGGTGGCTGAATGATTACCATACTCCAGAAATGAATAGTTTCTATAGGGACATGTAACACGAAACACTCACAGTCTCCTCAAGAGATTCTTAAACGTTGGAAGCGTTCCAGAGAGAAAAAAGTACTGGAAATAAGCATGCTTCATTACAGCACGTATCACAGTGATTCAATTAGTAACCAGATCAATTAAAGAAAACCAAGCATAACGCGTTGACTACATTAATAAGTAAAAACACATTCCAGTAACAACGATATATCTTGCTATGCATTAATAAAGTTAACAGACGTAAAATCTCTACAGATCTTAACATCTGAAATTCCCACGTGTAGCCGGCAACAATGAAGCTGAAAAACTCTTTAGAAAATAATAAATCGTCCAATGAGGAGAATGATCCCGAAAATCCCTAACGATACGGCTACTTTGAAGAAGGTCGACCTGAAACGAGTATAACTGACAAAAGGTGTAACAGAAAACCAAGCTCTTGGGGCAACAGTCCTCAAAGACAGAACCTCCTGTTCAGTGCCTTGGCATCTTCTCTGTACTTCTTACTCATACCGGACAAATCTGACGCTTTCGCTTCGAGAACTAAAATGTCAGTATTATAGAATTCGATGTATATTACTATAATTTGTTGGCAGTCAAAATATCGTTAGTAGATCCTATTAATCAATACGTTCAAAACTTACTATTAAGTGCTTCTCCGCGATGAATCACGTCCTCAATATTGCTCACCATTATGCGGGCGACATCTTGCAGCTCATTCGACACAGCAGACATAGCGTACCTTCAATGATGATCACGTCTCACAATATGAGGAATTCTTCAGTGCATGTAAGGCTCCAGAGTTCAATGAGAAAGCTCAGAATGGAGTCCAAAGAGTAGATGGGCAGCGCAATCGCGATAATTACATGAATGTTGAGTTGCGGGCAAGTCTTGACCCCGCGTATGAGGCGGCTTTGGTGGTGTGGCAGACGGATGATTAGACCCCCTTCAGACTTCGATCGCACAATCGCGAAGTCTGAACGCGGTCTAGGAGGCGGCCTTGGTGAACAGACCACTAGCACTCGCCCGGAAAGCGGGTTCGAGTCCCGCTTGAGCCATTTTGTCTATAACTCAGCATTCTTGTGATGACATTCAAAACGCGAACTGCGATGCTAAAGCAATGTCCGCGCGACACACTTCATAGTAGTAAGCAGTTTCAAAAATATCAATAGCCGTGTGGTTTGTTGACCTTACTGAAGGAGAAGGAAAAGTAGCGAAGAAGCGCTCCGCAATAGAGAACTCTTTATTTCAAATCAATTGTGATGTTGCGAAAGCAGGCGAATACACTGATAAGAGATGAGAGAGGTCGCAGAAAATAGGCGAAAGAGCGCAATGGCACGTCTTACGAAACGCAGGGCGGTGGTCCAGAAAGCCGGCCATGGGCCTAATCAGGAGCGCCAATGGCTAAACTGAGCGCCGTGCGTTCTGTGCTTGTTGTTTTCAAGCTTTCAAAAGCAGCGAATACCTCTAACTGTATGCGTGCTTGATCATCATTGCACGTTTTATGAGCTTCTATCTTAGTTTAACGCGGAACGTGCATTTAAATAATCAATCTGTGGTCCCAGTTGAAGACACTTTCCGCAATTGTTGAGGCGGAGGTGGTGTAGTGACAAGTGGCGCGCTTACCACTCGCTCGGCGCCGGGATCAAATCCCGGGTCGACTCCCGCCCAGGCCAAACCAAGCCTTCTACCATCAGGGACGGTAAAGGGCATCAGGGCACCAGATTCATAAAACACTGGCTTGTACATCGGTTGGCCACCGCAAGTCATTGTATAGGCCACATCGCATTCAGTAAGCCACTACGATTCTGAATGGGAGTGGAGCCGCATCCCACAAAGGGAATGATACCCACGGGCAAAGACTCTTATCCTCTTATCCGCAATTGTTAGTCTTCGCTAGCCGGTAGAGTTGATTTTCAACAGTTGACGAGAAGCGAGTGGAGAAAAGACACCACGAACGAAGGGACAATGACTGAGAGCTGAGTGAGAAACGAGTCAAAAGCCAGACATGGCCCCATACAAATATGATGGAGTTCCTTATAGAAGTGCTATGGGATGGGCCCAGCAACCAGTGAATGGGAAATGAAGGTGGCACCATTCTACTCACTTTTCGAGTCGAGAACGAAGGAAACGCCAGTTCCACGGTACACGAAATCCGACCGCATAAGGCTGAGGTTTTCTTCTTTGAGAACAAAGTTGGGTATCATCATTGGTTTTTTAATGGGAGCCAATGACGAACTGTCCTTCATCGATACTCTCCCTCGCTCTTGCTCGAATAGGAGATATAAAGGTGACGCTAAATATAAAGTTAAGATATGTGGTGATCAACGGGAGACAAAAGAAAATGACAATGAGACGCACGTTTATACTTTGACAATCCAGGCAATTTAAACGGGCGATTAGGGAACTGCGTTTGGTAATTGGATCGTTGCAACGGTGGAAAGAACCACTGTCCTGGACGTAACGTAACCACTGTCCTGGACGCGCCTGTGGCAGCACACACGATTCGCGATGGGTCGCAGCTGCCAGGTTCCCAGATGGCTCGGATAATGAAATATGAATGTTACTGATGATCAGGAGCAGAGAATTTGAGCGTGCTACTCCTCTCCTTTCTCCGAGCTAAGGATCCGATTAGTAGGACGCAGAGGGAAGGACGCTAATGTAGCCCGGGTTTTAAGCATGGCGACAGCAGGGGCTATTTTCTTGCTCTGTCGGTGAAGCGAAAGAGAATTCCAAAGAGGTGAGGTGAAAATGCAGAAAAAAGTGTTGAACAATTTCTGAGTACTCGAAGGAGAATTAAATCAGAGAAAGGGATACGAGGATGTAGCGCGAGATTTTCCAAAGTTAAAACCACGACTAATACATGTTTCTGTCGACAGTTATTTTTTTTGGCTTGTTGTATGGGGGGGTACTTGCATCTGAAAAGGTCACAATCAGTTATACAAGTAAAAATAGTGAGAAATACAAGCGTCGAATAGTTCTCAGGAAATCAACTGAGTTTCACAAAGAATTTTGAACACGCCACCCGAACTCGGAAAATGCGTACGGTCGGGCTACTTGGTCAATCCTTGTCGGGCATTCTGATCAAATAAATTTTCTTGGAAGAAATTCTTGGAGAAACATCTTCAAGATAAGCAAAAGCAAGTTTCCTTGGGAAGGCGTGTTGGCATAAACACAAGCAGCATATGTTTTGCTTGATAACATAGCTGTAAACATTTAAATCAATCCTTGTTACTCTTAAGAATTTCCTCAATAATCATGATCTGTGAGATAAATATGAATCAAAAGAATGAAGCAATAAATGCTTCACTCAGTGGTTGCCAACGAGCGCCATTCATCTGCTACTTTTGCCACTCAAAGTCAGCTGTATCCCCCCCAAGCCGACAGATTCCTTCGGAAATCAGTATTTACAGTCAGTTTCGTCGCGACCACTCGCGGCGGTCGCAAGAAAGATGGAAAGAGCACGCTCGCGGGAGACTTCTACGCTGATGTTTTCCGCCTAAATCGATCAGCAATCGCTTATCACAGGTGGAGCAGGGCAGCTGTAGCAGGCTCACTCCGCCCTCTTGACACAGTCCCCTCTAAATGCGAAATTATCAACAATAAACTCGTACTTGTTGGTTACCAAGTGGTGACGTAAGTTCTCTAAATGAAGGAGGATCACATAGGGTGAAGGTTTTGAACCATCTTAAGGAATTTCTGATTCCATTTCTTACAACTGCAAAGAAAGCTAAAAGCGCAGAATGTAGAAGCACATCAAACAGCCGCGATCAAGCTTACTGCCTAGGAGTGGAACTTAATGATCACATCTGACTGTGAGCGTGCGCACCAGCATTCCTCTTGACTTTCTAGTAAACTGACAAATTAAGAAATGATACAGGTCTCGATAAAGCATGCCCCTAAATTGCTTCAAAATGCAGATCAGGTGCAACAAGGGCTTTCCATGAAAGATCAGACTTCAGCCTAACCTGACACTAAAAAGGGAGAAATTCTCAAATAGTAAATCAGTTGGGAAGAGGGAGGGGTGGTTCGTTTCACTTTTCCGACGAACTACTGTTCTTTCGGTACCTTGAAGCTCCTCAGTAAAGGAGGGAGTGACGCAAAACCAGAAATACTATAATGCTCAAAAAGGTGAACAGAAAAAATCTGAGAGAAAATACTCTAATGCTTCGTAAGGAAAACTAAAAAAAAACTTCGAGAGAACGAGAGAAAAAGTAGTTAGCGGCCATCTAAAAGCAGCAAGAAAAAGTTCCAAAATCACCAGTGCTGCACAAAAAGTAAACTCAGCTAAAAGATATGTAGTTACATCAGAGCAACCTCAGACCAATCGGAGACAGCCCCGGGGTCGGTCGATGAGCCAGTAAGGCAGCGTTCAGACTTCGCGACGGCAGCGCTTCGGTAGCGCGATCCGACAATCAATGCGCATGCTTTCAACTGCATCGATCGTGTCGAACGCGCGACCGAAGTGCTGCCGTCGCGAAGTCTGAACGCTGCTCAAGTGAAGCTTTTTCTATTAGTCTCGATGATGTTAGTCCTCTTTCTGCTAGCTCCTTCTTAGCATATCAACCCACCCCCCCCCCCGAAGTTATTACCGTCGAATGACATCACAAGGAAACACAGCACTTGAAAATGCGTGACACATCATCATAAGAAGTCCCTCGAGAGCAGTCTTATCAGATATCGCCTGTCCATCAGGGAAAAGCAAACTATTCATACATGACAGTTGAGGAAAGCAGGTTAATGAAGAAGCATGTCAGGAAGAGCAATCGTTCACGTTCATACTATCATTACATTATCATTACCCGTCCCCCGGACCACAAAACCCTTTTGCCTGTAATCGGTCAGTTGTTAAAGGCGGTGTATTTCCAATAGTTTCTAGGTCACTTCAGCTAGAACTGATGTTTAACCCGAAACGTTGTCAAATAAAGGTTTCGAAGAGTTTGATTTGATAAGAAGACACGAAGAAGCTACTACCCAATGAAACTCAGGAACCCTATGATATTATCCGACTATCATTACTATTTGAATGGACCCTAGAACCCGTAATCACGCTAGAACAAGAGGCCAAGGCTACGTTCACATACGACTTCTTTGACGAATCACAGAATCCCCGGGAGAAGAATGCACACGTATAGATGCGAAGAATCTGCCGAGTCCCGCACCTGGGAAAATCGGCGAAGAAAAATTAGATTGAGGCTGATTATATATCCAAAGCCTTTACGTTTTTCAGAAAAGAATTCAAATCAACACTACATTGCTTTCCCCCCCCCCTGCTTTTTACCTCCCCCCCCCAACGATGTATAACCGACCTGATGCTGCTAATCAGAAATTCGCAAGCGAATACAACATGAATTTCGACCCCTTGCACAGAGAATGCCTCGAGCCAAATCCCTGACCGATGAATATCGGTTATAAATATGGATAACAAGCATTTTTAACTTACACAACATCTTTGCGACTTCCTGGTACTAAAACAGACGTCCAATAGGTCTGTCTCGCTGCGAGGTCCAGAGATAATTTCTCATCGCCTCTTCTAGCCGAGCATTCGAAGGTATTAAAGTAAGGAAAGAGGAGAGAGAGAGGAGAGGAAGAAAGGAAAAGAAGGAGAGAGGAAGAAAAAAGGGAGGAGGAAGGTTTCGCTGTTGACAGATATCATGACACGCGATACCATAGAGCTATTGTTCTTCGAGGTCAAGGTAGTGGGCACGATGGCTGGGGGGGGGGGCTGCTGCAAATTATTGGTGGTAGGGCTGAACATTGTCGGACCAATTCCCTTTCGCAGCCTTTCCACCAATGACGTCAGCAGCAACCGTCCGCCCCAGCCATCGTGAAGTTATTAACCAAATTCAGACGGTCCATTTGAAATGTCAGACGGCAATAACAATAAAACGTTCACTCACTGGAACATATAGGGTCCACTTTCGATCGATTGCATTAGAGGAGC